TATATATATATATATATGGCTATATGGCTATATATATGGCTATATATATGGCTTAATGGTTTGCTTCCCTGGCACAATACATGTTTACTAAAATTAATGCCAACATCACAGATGCAAATTTTACTATATTGGCTACATTGCTAACATGCCCTGCCCTTTAAAGAACGTCAAACTTCGCTGTTGTACAAGCCGGTTCGTGCCGGTAATAATTTCTGTCACAATCCCTTAATTTTTATCAGGGATATTAATATTTTATAATGTGATTTTAGGCAGTTCTATCAATAAAATAAGTTTTTATATATCATTAAGATTACGCTTCAATTAACTTTTACAATGGCATCTAAAGATTTAGTGAAACAAGTTTCTCCATGGTATTCAAGGTATAAAGCAAATTTTATTTATATTTAAATGGCGTTATTTATTAATTATTAACTAATAATTTTCTAGTGCTGAATGGAGGCATGTGTTTAGTTTAGTGTTCTCGTCTGAATATGTGAATCGATTGGAAGGTTTGAATTATATGAAAATGTGGAAAGTTAGAACACCGTATTTGTCTGGAGGAATACAAGGGACGATGGAAATTCTTGAAGCAGTTTTGTATGATGAGAATCCTGACAATGATAATCAAAGTAATAGAACAAAACAAACAGTATACTCTATGGCAATAATGCGGTTAGTATTTGCTATTGGTTAAGTTTTGGTATTTCACAAATTTTGTTAAATTTTTGCATCTATCTTATCTTTTGCCAATAAAAATAAATAGAACTAATAGACAATTTTAATGAGATCAAAGATCTATCAAAGTGAAAGGGGGGCATAATGTTTTTGGAAAACTTAAGGTGGGTTATGGCCCATAATTTAATGTAATCCTGTGCATTATTTTAATGTTCCAGCAATACCAGTGATTCACAACATTTTCCAAACATCTTAGGGCTTCCGAAAATGATATAATTCCCTATCCATACAAAATTTTGAATTTTAAAAAAATATTTTGTTCCTGAAGAAATATAAATATGTTTTAAGAAGAAATGACTATATAATTACTGTAAAATTATAAGTAAATTTTCAAAACAATCTTATTACTGATGCTTCCTGCACATTGCATTTTGTATTAAATTCTAACTTATTTAGCTTTAATCTCAAGCCTCCATGTTTGTTTTATCAAGTCTATTTTTCATCAATAAATCATAGCAATTTCTTATACATTTGGTTACATTTGAGCTTTTGGTTTCAGTTTCTCTATATAGCCAGTGTTGAGTCAATTTTTAAACTGTACCCCAGAATTTACAAATTGTTTATGTTTGCACATTGGGAATCACTGACCTATACAGCAGTATAAAATATGTTTTGGTGGCACAATAATAAATTATTTCAGAATTACTCAAACTATAATGTATATATGAAAATACATATACTACAATGTATATAATAGTTTGTGCTTAGAATTTTGCTAATTTATATTCTTTTTTTTAAAGAAAAAAAATCATGACTGATGATTTAAATTTGAAATTAATAACAAATTTCATTTATTTCAGGTGGCTCAACTTAATAACTGACTCAACAAAGTATAATACATTGTATCATACTGCTCAAAATTTACAAATTCCACATTGGATTATTATATACGCCATGCAGTCGCTCATAGTACAGAATTAACACCTATAGCTTTGCTTAGAGAGGCCTCACAATATGCATTAAAATGGCTTTATGAGATGTATTGGAAATTAGAAAATGAAGAAATAATTGATTATATTATTACAGACAGTATAAGTGAACCAGAAGAAAATAATTACAAACAATATTTGGAGAGATTCTTGTTGATTTATGATAATGTTGTGATATACATCGGTGAATACAGGTTTGAAATTAATAATAATAAATTTGAATTAATTCTGAATAATACTATCTTCATTATTTCCTATTTTCAAGCTTACTTATCTAATTAAAAATTATTGTCATATAATGAATATAAAGGCATTATTCAAAATTCATGTTTTTTAAAGAACATTGATTGAAAGTATATATATTTAAGAATATTTAATTTGAAATACAATATTTATAAATCAATATTGTGAATATTGCTCTGAACTGATTATATTATTTAGGCTTTCTGCAGAAAATTTGTTCCTAAATCTAATTTACTTTTAGGTTTAAACGAATCTGTGACATAAATATACATAAATTGAAAAAAGACTTGGTAACTGATGTTGATAATTTATTAATGAATCCTAATACATATGTATCCGAACGCTGTTTCTTGAAATCTTTATTATTCATTGTAATTAAGAGAATAAATCAAGTCATCAAGAAGTACAAAGAGAACAATAAATTCATTGATGTCTATGTGGATAGTCTATTAAACTGTAACAATTTCCTGAGTAGAAATATTTTGCCCAAGGAGAATGCCTATTATAAAGATTATGTGAAATTATGGATGCCACTTCTGGACCACTTACATGTTGCAAATGCTCTGCCGTGCTTGGTCAAGAAATTAATTGATGTGTCTTGTTCTGATAAGTCTGATAGAGGAATCTTTGCATATACATGGCTTGAATATGTTTTGAATGGCCTCGCAAAGTGTAAATCTGTACAAAAAATTACAGAGACGAATTATGTAAGTTAATTTCATTACAATCCACATAGATCATATTGTATTTAAAATATTATTTTAACTGGAAATAATTTATGAATAATATCAAGCTCTATTATAAATACAATTAGGGTACTATTTTAAATCACAAAGTACTTGTAATATTTTGGTATCTAAATGTTATATCTACCCTTCTTATATAAATATATTTTTAATATTGAATAATTTTTTTTTTAGTCGAATCCACCAACAGTAAAGAGGGCAATAATGGAAGCAAGTGCAGGTTTGCCGGAAATTACTTCACCTGTTATGTTCAGACCGGAACTTCCTTTAGATAAATTTTTTTTGAGCATGGATGCATTAAAATATACTTTATTAAATAATTCTGGAGTTCCGAATGGAAAATACTGGAAAATGTAAGCAGTCAAATTGATATATCTAACTACCCATTTTTCAATAGACCAATAAATATTTATAAACTTTATTAACAAATACAAAATTAAACTAGTTGTAAATAGCATTTTGCCTTGAGGCAAGTTACATTAAATTCCTGATACGTATTCATAATGAATTTAATTAATGAGAAATGAGATTCAGCTCTTTAGTCAAATGTTCAACTGTTTATTTTCAGAATAAAATTTTTGCTTTCATTAAAAATCGATCAGAGCTGTTCCAATTGATATTTTTCAAACCCTTAATATTTGTAATTGTATAAATTAAATTACTTTGTTTACTTCTCCTTAGGGAAGTTAAAAATAAGTAACACAAGATAGGTCATATTCTATAACATAAATTTTCAATATATTAGTATCTCAATTTTTAGTCACTGATTAAATTTTTCAGTTTATTAGATCTGATGAGAAGAAAAATTGCCTCCAGAAGCCATTAGTACGATAGACAGACTACAGAACTTAGTAAATAGTAAACGCTGTGATCTTGATATTCCATTAAATCCAGACAATACTGAAAGAAAAATATACACTGTTGAGGATGTAAGAAAAGCTAAATTAGAACATGACATAAAAAATCAGGTTGACAATGCCGAGCAAACAGTGACTGTGAATGGTACTGGAAATAAAAAAGAAAACAATCCTGATGCTATCTGGAGAGAAGTTGATGGTGAGTGTCTATGTAATATATTTAGAAACAAATGCATATCTTTAATATTTATGCAAAATATTAGTATAAAATATTGCTATTAGTTGCCATGAAGAATATCTATTACTTGTTCAGGGATTTGAATCATTATAATATTGATATCTCACTAATCCCCACAGTAATAATTATTTCAATTAATTATATAAGAGTAAATTGTATCAAGAAATCAGTTTAATCTGTACTTTTGGCATTCAGTAAATAGGTTACAGATTGTTTTTATATCTTCTAGTTTTACCTCTCTTTTAATTTATAAGAGAGTTATATAAACATTCTCTATTCTCTCTGTTTCAAACTGTTTTCATCAATTTGATAAATTTATAAATTTCCTTAACATTGAATTCTTTTCTAAATCTTCTCAATGTTATGAACCAGTTTACTTGATATTAAATAGACATAGAAATTGAATCTATTTGATATGCTTAAATTCGAATTGAATAGTATTATTTTAGTTATTTTGTTCTTTTAGAAAATATATATATTCCGAATATTACATATTTTTCAGATGATATTGATTGGTCCACAATTCCATTCGGTGCTTTACCTAGCAGTCTGCAAACTTAAAATGTATTAAATAATACACAAATGACAATAATTTTATTATATTTATAATACTTAAACAATGTTTAGTTTGCAATCATATGTGGATTGCAAATTATTCTGCATTAGAAAAATGCATTTAAATATATGGAGTAAACTGATTCTTTGTTTTATTCTAGACTCTTTCTTCACATTAGTTCTTTATTTTCAGACTATATTTGCTAGATCCCAGTCTTGCTCTATGTCTATGTCGCTATAAATCCTTATATTCTTGTCTGTAGTAATTGTTGCTAATTGATAATTAGCAGAGCTGTGAGAATCTCTATAAAACATGACATGCATACATTTCTCAACTAAACTTTCAGCTTCAAATTGAGTCATGTATGGTTTGTCCGGGTTTAAATATTCTCGAATTAGCGGTGTTGCTAGATAACTGCCCAAACCTGTGGCAACCACACGGTCTGTATAAGCTGTTCCTAAATTGTCCACAGTACCTGTGGAAAAATAAATAGCAGTTGAATGTTTTAACTCATTTAATAATTATAATATTAATATTATTTATAATAATAATAAGAATATTATTGTTATAAATATCCCAAAGAAGTAATTTGAAACTTCACCAGAAAATAGTATTTCATTATTTACGCTTTTCGAAGTTTTAAGTCATTTTGAATCGTCTCACACCAATTTGGAAAAGGCATACCAGCTTCGTTTTGTCAACATTTTTTCTGATACTGCTGAACCGTTAAGGCATTTGATGAAACTCGTTAGGGACTTTCTATGATTAGTTTTTTCGACACGATATGTTAAATAATTAGTATCTAAGTGTAAATTTTTTACTTCCCGTAGGGCAAGTTATAGTAATCGCAAAAAAATCGAAAATGAAAATTTTATATATCTTTACGTTTCAAAGGTTTCTGAACATTTTGGCATACCTTAGAAAAAATGGATGTATGTGTGTGTGTGTGTATGTGTTGTGTGTGTATGTGTGTGTGTGTGTGTGTGTATGTATGTATGTACGTGTGTGTGTATGTATGTGCGGATACAAATTTTCGTCGACGATTTCGGGAACACGGATCAACCGATTTGAATAATTAAAAAAACATTCGATTCGTATTAATAAGGAGACGTGCTGATTATTTTTTGGCGCAGGGAGGTCTAGCCGTTCCGAAGATACGGGGCAAAAAGTGCCGAAAACGGTAACTCATTTTTTAAGAGAACGGAGCGTCCGATTTTAATAATTCAAAAAACATTTTACTTATATTGACAAGGTGAAAACCCGATCAAATTTTCATTTGATCTCATCAAAAATTTCATTTGATTTCATCAAAAATGCCATTTGGCGATCAAAATGATCATTAGACTTATGCACATCAAATTATCAGATATTTTATAGAGATTTTAACAATAAGTATACATTTTTTTTACATTTCTATGGGTTCCGTACCAATGCTTATGCGTTAGACGGCGGCGCGCATGTCGTCTCTATGCAGTTTAAGCAGTGCGAATGCTTTGAAAAAAAGTTCAGAATTCCAACATATGTCAAAATGAAGAAAAGATTTTTTTTCAAAAAATTTTTTGTTTTCAAAAAAAAAATTTTTTTCTCAAAAAAAATTTTTTTTCAAATAAAAAATTTTTTTTTCAAAAAAAAAGTAATTTTTTGTCAATAAATTATAGTTTTCAAAAATCTTTTTCAAAGTAAAATTTTTCAAAAATGTTATTCGTTTTTTAAAAAAAAATAATAATTTTGGTACTGGAAGTTCCAGCAATTTGCCTTAAGGCACGATGCCCTAATTGCCTTAAGACAGAATTCCACTTATTTTGTCAAAGTTTTCTCCAAAATTTTTTAACCTATTTTGAGAATTCTTGAGAAAATTTTGGTGAAGAACGGCACCGGCTTGGAAATCATCGCATTTCTTGATATTGAGCTTGCCCAGGTTGGGCTAGAACCCAGGACTAGATTTATAGAGTTCCGAATACAATTCTAATGATCATTTATATCAAGTTTATTTCTCGTGAGACCCACCTAAATAAGGTTTTTTTTCGCTCGACTCCAGCGATAACATAGTGATTCCAAAGCGGTCGCAAAGCACTTCTTCTGCCATAAACAACTCGTGTCAGCCAGGTGTGCAATTCACTAGGAAGCAGAATACGACCATCATTGAACTGAACATCATCTGTAACCATCTCCTTAATTCGCTTCAACAAATGCTGATAATCCGCGAAGTCGCCGCTGCAACCTAATACTATGTTTTCATTTATCTGCGAATTCGAAAGAAATATTTTAAACATAATGGCATATTTAGCCCGGTCAATTTAAACCTAAAATCAAGGTAAAGGTTACAATAATTCATAATGGGCTAACTTGGCAAATCGCGAAAAAGTCATTTTTTTACCTTTGACCTTGTGCAGTTTTTGTAGCTCGCATCGGAACGATGAGGACCTTTGAGTTTTCTTTTATAATTGTATTTTGAACAATGTTGCCCAGTTACAGCCCATTATGAATTATTGCAACCTTGAATGCGTAAATTGTCCGGGTAATTGTCGATATATATATGCATATACGAGGTCTGTTCAAAAAGTACCCGAATTTTCGTTTTTTCAAAAAAATATTTATTTATTCGTCTACATTAATGTGGTCCCCTTCAAAGTAGTCCCCCCCAGATATAATACACTTATGCCAGCGTTTTTTCCAATTTTCGAAGCACCCTTGATATTCACTTTTTGATATGTCCTTGAGCACTCTCAGCGATTTTCTTCAATCGAGGAAAACCGCCGTCCTTTCATGGGTCTCTTCAACTTTGGGAATAGGAAAACGTCACACGGAGCCATATCTGGTGAATTTTTGCACTTTGCAACACTTTATTTCATTTTTTACGCAAAATTTAATACAAATTCTTTGACTTTTCAATTCTTCCATTGTAAAAATCGCCGAGCTCAGAAAAACACGTCGAACCTTAGCGACTACCACAGACAAAGTAAACAGTGAATATAGCTGAAATTTCATCATACTTTAGGGGCATGTATACCAAACACAATAAAAAAAATTTTGACAATCAGACACTCCAGACCCGCGAAATTTAATTATTAGTAATTCCGGGTACTTTTTGAACACACCTCGTACATAATACTTTTTTAAAATATTTTGTGCCCGTAGTTCGTTTTGATCTCTTTGTATACTGAATTTGCACTATTTATTTTGTGATTAATATTACTAGACTATTATACTGATGATTTTTTTAGATGCAGTAATGCCGGGGAAGGCATTGCTCATTTGGAAACATATTGCTATCTATTTTTTATTTCCAAGTGAAAATCGTTGACACTACTGCTTGACATTAGGCTGTCCGAGGCAGGCATCGCTCCTGGGACCTCACAACTTGGATAAATTAAATTCATTTTTCAGTCATTTTTGCTATTGAGATGTGAACATGAAATAACAATTCAACTAAAAGTTGAGTCTTTGGTATGGATGATACCTAAGATACTAAGATAAGGTAATACCTTAATTTTATATTTTTATTTAAGTACGTAAATCTTATATACTTAAAAAATACTACTCAATTACCCTTATAATTCGTCTTTTGCCAAAATATTTCGCCATGTTATTAAAGGTGATTTGCGAATCACCAGCCATGGTGACTCCTTTATCAAATCTTACGGCTACCACTGATGTTGTTGTTGATACTGGATAGTATCTAGATGGTTCTTCGATTCTTGGTATTTTATATTGGTCCAGATACTGATCGATTATTCTTTGAGTTTCACCTGTAAAAAAACACATTTTAAAATTTCAATATATACTACGTGTAAAATGGATTATTCCTTAATTTTTTGTTGGAATCTGAAATAAAAATGAAAGTAAAATAACAGCAATATTATATTATATAATAGTGAGCAAAAGTTTGTTTTGAATGATTATGATACATATAGTTTGTTACTACTTTATCATTATAATGCGTAAATTGTTTAGTGCTACTTTTGAGTTCAGAAAAATATTCCGTTTCGAAAATGATCTGAATATGAAACTTTTCTTACTGAAAATATTTCGCAAAAAGATAAGTACTTTTAATTAATTTTGTTCTCAAATGCTTACAATTTTTTATATTGTTTGTGAAACAAATTGTGACATTATGAAATTTTGCACGGCAAACCTATAATATTCTTGGCTTTTAGTTAAGACCGCTAACTTCTTATTAAAAAAAAAACGTCTCGGTGGATAATTACCGAAAACTAACTAGCACGATTTGCAACAAATATCTAGATTTAGAATTTTTGGCTAAAACTTGAACTCATCTGCCAATTATAAGAAAATAGTTCGGTTATTCATCTAAAACTAATCACTTGATCCATTTTCGAGATTCACACGACTGCAAATTTTTTGTAATCAGTGCAATTTTTTTGTGAAAGAAAATCGACTAAGGGTCAAATTTTAGCTCATATACAAACATACTATTCCCAATTTTAGTGTAAGAACTGGTTCAGAGAAAGTTCCAACGCCAAGAAAACATAACAGTGACTTGTTAACTTTGAAATTTTTTTAGAAAACCAACTTTTTCGGGATGTTAAAAATATTTAAAATTAGAATTGATATTAAATGAAAATGGTTTTTAACTTTCCGTAGGGTAGGTTATTGTAATGGTCCAAAAATTGAAATTGAAAATTTTTGCATATATTTACGTTTTGAAGGTTTTTGAATATTTTGGCACACCCAATTTTATTTATCTATGGGCATACCTTGCAAAAAATGGATGTGTGCGTGTATGGATACAATTTTTCGTCCACATTTTCGGGCGTACGGATCGACCGATTTGAATGGTTAAAAAAATATTTGATTCTTGTTAGGGAGATGTGATGATTGGTTTTTCGTAAAAGTCGGTACAGGAATGATCCAAAAAACATTCTATTCAAAGGCAGGTCCATCCGTACCGGAGATACGGAGCAAAATATGCAAAAAATACAGTTTTTACAGAAAATAAGCATCGAATTTGAATGGTTCAAAAAACTTTGTGCTTGTATTGACGCAACAATTGTTTTTGGGAAACGAAAATAGAACTTTTTTTTTCTTTTTTCTTCAAATAACTTTTTTTTTTGAGTATCGAAAATAATTCAGATTTTTAAAATTTTAATGGGAAGTTTCAGCAATTTGCCTCAATGCACGATGACATACATCACTAGTGTTTAATTATGTTTATAGTAATTTTTACATCAGTCTTGAAATGAACAAGTAAAATGAAAATATTGAAAAATATGATTAATAAAAATCAAACGCATATACTACTTGAAATTGGGGATTTTTTTCAGAAATTTTTCCAAGTACTTGCTTGATAAGAATGCATGAAACATGAAAGACTAATAGAATGATCATTTTTACATTGTTAAATAACTTGAACAACTTGTTTTGCTAACATCATAAAATATATATCATGCGCATCTTTCCATTTTATGAACCGAGTGTTTTGTCTAATAAAAATGCGAAATATTTTCTTCTTAAACTCTCAAACATAAACTTGACATTTTATTCCTTTTTAGCATTACTTAAGGATCGATGCACACACGCGAAGGAGCGGGTATGAATGCGTGACCCGCGTTCGCGTACCGCCTGCCGTTTCGCCTTTCGCCGTTTGTATTTTCTGATGTTTTTACGTTTTGTCTGTAAAAAATGATAAAAGTTTACACATAAATGGTAATAGAATAGAGGTATCATAAAACCGGGGATTCGGGCCAAGTCGTAGCGGCTGTTCAACAGATAAAGTTACGGTATAACTTGGATTATGAAAGTTTCCGAATATATTATAAAATATATAACACTGTTGTCGTCGTCTAAGAGTTGATCGCATTTCCGCTTCTCAGAGTCACCAACCGCTGTTCGTCACGATCCTTTGGAAATAACAACCGAGTTTTGACAGAAAACCATGGGGCACGATCACAACATAAACTTCAGAGAGCTGCCTGCATTATTATACGAATTTGAAATGCATTAAGAAAGCATTTCTCGAGTATAATTTTGTTTATTATTGACGCGGGAAAACTCGGAAAGTTTTCTATATAATTTAAGATTATATATCGTACTGTATTGTCGCATTTAAAGTTTTAATAACATCTTTTGTCTGAAGCAAATTCGTACTCTTATGATTTCGTTCGCATAGTATAGTATTATATTATTTTCAAGTATATGTTCATCATAATGAAAATATAAATGAAATCATGATTTTTTAGAGAAAATCACAAAAGAGTTATTTTTACTTATTCATTTAGCTACTTGTGACACGTGCAATTACAAACTATATAATTTTAAGTTTTTTTGATGTTTGAACTTATAATGTTTTATTTGACTCCGAAATTGGAAATAGTATGTATGTGTTCGCATGCGAGCCAAAATTTAACTATTCGACAACGTTTTTCCAAATTAAATATTTCACACTTGATGATAAAATTTAGTAGTATAGCATTGCGCCTTAAGGCAAACTGCTGTAACTTCACGTTTTTGTAAAAAATTTACAAAACTAAAATATGTATAAAGAATTATTACTTTTTTGTTTTACACAGGATCATAATATCACTGCATAAATATTAAATTTATTCAATTTCATTTCATTTCATTTTATTTCAAAGATACATTTTTCAACTCACTTCCCGTAGGGTAAGTTATAATAATCGCAAAAAATCGAAATTTTTATTTACCTTTACGTTTCAGATGTTTCTGAACATTTTGGCATACCTTAGAAAAAATTGATGTATGTGTGTGTGTGCGCGTGTGTGTATGTATGTGCGGACAATTTTTCATCGACGATTTCGAGAACGCGGATCAACCAATTTCAATAATTCAAAAAACATTCGATTTCTATTCATAAGGAGACGTGCTGATTAGTTTTTGACAAAGTTTTCTGAAGATACGGTGTAAGAAGCGCCAAAAATGAAAAATAAATTTTTGAGAGATGATTCAAAAAACATTTTATATGTACTGACGAAATGAAGAACTGATGAAATTTTTGGAAAGGCTGAAATTTTGGATAAAATTAAACATATGCACATCAAATTACCAGATATATTATAGAGATTTTAATAATAAATATAAAATTTGTTTACATTTCTATGGGTTCTGTACCAATATTCATCCGTTAGTCTGCGACGCGGCGCTTACGCGCTTTGATATTTCGTTTCTACGCAGTTAACGCTGCGCGATTGCTTGGGAAAAACGTTCAAGACAAAAATGGAATTTTGGAAAAAATTCTAGGCAAAAATGAATGAGGAAATGAACTTTTCAAAGCTTTTTTAAAAAAAATAATTTTCGGTACGGAAAGTTCCAGCAATTTGCCATAAGGCACGGTGCCATGCCCACTAGTTTGTCCAAGTTTTCGCAAAAAAATCTGAAGTTTTGACAATTTAAATAAATTGGAAACAGTGCTGACTAGTTTTTGGTAAATTTCGTCCTGGGCTGTTTCTTTGTAATTAAATGTCGAAACAAATTCTTGGCTATTTTGATGTATATTTGTATGACGAAAATGTTCATGGTCTGATCAAAAATCTCAAAGTATCATAGAGCTACAAAAATTGATCAATTATAAAAATCCACCAAAGTTTGGAATAATGGTCTTACCAAAAATCTCAAAATATCATACAGCTACAAAAAATGGATTAATTATAAAAATCGATCAAAGTTTGGAATAAAGATCTTATCAAAAATCTCTAAATATCATAGATCTATGAAAAGTACATTAATTATAAAATCCATAAAAGTTTGGTTTAATGATCCGTGTCAAAATTTCAAAATATCGCTGCAATTTGAAAAGTTGCTAAATCTCGTTACTTATTGATTAAGTCGATATTTTACTTAAGGCAAAATGCCATTTAGGCTTTGTCATTTTACAATATTGTGCATATATCATAAAAGCAAGCATTCGTTCGAATTGCAATAGTTTTCGAATAAAACTTTGGACGCTTCTGCAACTTTTCTATACAAAATATTGTTAGGACATTGCGGAAACGATTTGTGTAGATTTTATCATTTATTCCCGTATCCAGACATAAGCATACGTTATCTGCGAGCATAATATTTAAATAATAAACCTTACAACTCTATAGAGTGTATGATTTATTCATAAAATTTTTGCCAAGTCCTATGCGGCAGCAAGAATACGAAGTTGATTGATTAAATCGCATACTAAACCCCAGGATATTTACGTTTTGATTGGGTTCTACCCACAATTTGCTTTATTTGTACGTACATATTCCTTCACACATCCAACGTGTTAAGGAATATATGTATACATATGTAATATATGTAGTAATATAATAACGCTTCTTAACCTTTAAGTAAAATACAACTCGATTGATTTATTCAGTCTAGCCCCATTTGGACTGAAGCACCGAGCCGAGCATTTATTCTCGGAAAATAATATATAATAATTATTCATTTAAATTTATAGCTGATTTTTTGTGCGATTATATTCAGTTTGAAAATTATCTTAATCGATTCTTGTTTTATTGCGTTCAGTTTATTTGCAATTGTATTCTTCATAAATCATTTTAAATATTAATATCTTTGTTTTATATTGTTACTTGGAAGAGATTAAATGTAATTCATATAATAATGCTATGCTATTACAAAATCGCTTTTTCAATGGTAATTTTGAAATTTATGGTAAATTCCTTAAATAACTTTCTAATATAACAATAATATTATTACTCTTCTTATTTCACTTAAACTATATTACGAATTCTATTATTGATTTAGATGAAAATTCGTTTACAATCATTATTTCTGA